AGAGAGAGAGAGAGAAAACAACTAGCTAATAAATGGTAAAAGTGGTAAAGGTCTTATTTAAAGAAAAGAGCAGTGTGGTGGATTGTGCTATCTAAGGCCTGTGGCTTATTGTAGACAAAAGACAAAACAGCATTCTTTCTTTCTAAGATAAGCAACCAGAATTCTAAAATATTGGGGGATGTATGTGTTATTTACAGTTTTTATTTTGAAAAACTGCTAATTTTTGAGGCAAAAATATATATCTTTATGATAATTGTTTTTTTTCTGGTTTTACCAGTCCTTAAATAGAAGGAGAAGAAGCACATAGCCAAAGGTACAAATTACATAGACATATATATTTGTAAAATTTATTTTCTAGTTCCCAATACTTCTGTTTCTTGGTTTAATGAGTTTGGATATTATGAGTTTCTTTCCCTTGGGAAAGTAAAGAAAGCCCCCAAGTTTTCGCACTATTTTTCTCACAACTCTCTCCTGTGAAGTCATTGGGCCTCCAAGCTCATCTCCAAAGGGTTGGATGGAATAATGTTATAGGAAATATTTTACACTAAATACTCATCCCAGCCCGTCAACAGGTGTTGGCTGGGTGCCTGGCCAACCTTCTTGGAGTGGACACAGACATTCTGTCAAGAGAAGGCCTTGCATTCTCTCCTGTCTCCCCGAGGGACCTGGGCAGCCCATGTCCACAGCCAGTTCTGTAGATGGGCCAAAATGAAACCAAAATAGTATCAAGATAATGTGATATGAATTTACTTAGCTCAAATTACAATTTGCATTCTAGAACATTCTCTCTCCTCCCTTTCCCCTTCCTTTCTTTCCACTCTACTCTCTGTTCCAGGATCTTGTTGTGTGATCAAGGCTAGCCTGATGCTCACTATGCAGCCCAGGCAAGCTAGAAGCTTTTAGCAAATCTCCCATGTCATTCTCCCGGGTACTGGTATTACAGGTGTGAGTCACCACACCTGTAAGTTACCGTTCTCTATATCAGCCAAATGGTAAATATTCAATAACAGATACATTAGAAGTAAATATATACATACATACATACATACATAATACATACACACACACACACACACACACACACACACACACACACACATTCCCAGAAAAGGTTTAAGATACAATTGCCTCTCAGTCAAAAGCCTACATCTGGAGGTGAGTCTCTTGGTTTTCAACACAACAGATATAAAGGGCTGAGATGGATCGTAGCCCCTGCTCACGTCCTTCCTTTCACTTCTGTCCCTCGGCCCCCCCCCCCCCCCCCCCCCCCCCCGCCCCCCCCCCCCCGTTTCAGCTGGGGTGGCACACTGTACCTCCCCACACTGTGTGAAGCAGAGCCCAGGACTGGAGTCACACCATTGTGGCCAGGATTGAGTGAAGGTCCTAGGTTTGCTCTCATTGGAGACACCAAGAGTTTTCATACAACTGTGCCTTGTGTGTTCCTTTTTAGTTCTGTTTTGTGTCAAGTCTTCCCAGTTTGGACTCCTCCTGCCTGAGTCTCTCCTATAGCTGGGGTGACAAGCCCGTGCCACCAGGTTTGGCTGTCATGTGGCTTTAAGGGTACACACTGAAGAGTTTAGAAATGACGTAGCTTGCTGTCTACCATTTAAGATGTTTCAGCAGCAACAATGACAACCAAAAATGAAGCAAGCAAGGCATCACCAGGTGATGGTACACACACGCTAATACACCCAGGTGATGGTGTTCACACGCTAATACACCCAGGTGATGGTGCACACGCTAATACACCCAGTGATGGTGTGTACACGCTAATACACCCAGTGATGGTGTGTACACGCTAATACACCCAGTGATGGTGTACACACGCTAATACACCCAGTGATGGTGTACACACGCTAATACACCCAGTGATGGTGTACACACGCTAATACACCCAGTGATGGTGTACACACGCTAATACACCCAGTGATGGTGT